TATGTTAATTTGATGCTTAGGTATATCCTATTTTATATTTGGAGATGCAATAATATTTACTTTTCAAATTATAATAGAGATTTGATAATTATTCACTAATGCTAAAGGTGAAAATTTAGGTAAACAAGTTTATATTCCACTATAGACTATAAACCATTAAGCAATTGAACTTTGACTACTACAAAAAAGGAACAAACGCTTTATATTAAATTTTCAATAGTTATATAATTTGTACTTTGATCGAACAACAAATTTTGTAGCCAGTTAAGATATCATCTAAATAATTATGTTGTACTTTAAAGAATAAAAATAACGAAGAGCAAGAAAAATTCAAATTCAAAGTTAACTAACAACAGTAGAATCACGTAAACGTAAAAGTTGTTTATTCTTATTTGCAAAAAAATTCTCTATCAGACTATGTAAAAAATGTTTGTGTAGCAGATTGTAGAGAATTGATTTTTATGAAAACTGATAAACGACGGACCTCTTTAAAATATCTCTGTCTACAATATTTTGAGTTTCACAACTTCCTGTTACACCAAAAGTAGATGTCAACCCGTTTATTTTCAATATAGTATAATGCACACTTAAACGCATTATTCGTTTTATAGTAAAGCAAAACAGAACATAGAAAATTGCCAAGAACTGATAGGATTACACTAAAAACAAATAATCTCATTTCGAATTTTCATCAGTACTAGTAAATGAAATATGACTAATGCGAACAAATAATGAATATAAAAGTATATTAGCAGACATCAATTTGCATATTATGGCGGCTTTGCATCCAATAACATTGTTGCTTCTTCTGGAGTGCATCAAGGCTCTATATTAGGACTATTATTGCTATTATATTTATATTAATGATATTACTTCTAAATTATGTTGTGAAGCAGCATTATATACAAATGATTTAAAATTATTCATTTCGGTTCGCAGTAATGACGTAATTAAATTTCAAAACGATTTAACATCTACAGGGTGGGCTACAGTAACGCCTCGGTCGCTAGTGACCAAACGGCAAATGTTATACAAACCTGTTTAGGTGGGTACGTGTAGGTTGATTTTGGCTACATTTTAAAAATATTTTGAAATATAGAGGGTGTCCACGAAAAGTTTACCGTATCAAAGTTATGTATTTTTAAATGGAATACCATGTATTTTTCTGCATTTTCGAAAGTACCATAGAAAAATAGGCGAACTTTATTAAAGATTCGGCATACCTAGGACTTATCGTTTGTGAGATATTTCAATTTTAGTGAAAATGCAGGCTTAGCATGGAAATATAATATTAGCAATAAAAAAATAATTTTAAGGAAGCAGCTTTGTAGAGTGTATTTTAGATCCTTTAAGTTATAAATTATAATATTTGTCGTCACTTAGTTTTTTACAGGGTGATCAAGAAAACTGCTGAATACTTCTCTCAACTTGAAACAGCAATAGCTTGGTTATTTTAAATGGGATACCCAGTATATTTTTACTTTGAAGTTAGGAAATTTAAAACTCTTTCAAACTGTGTATAGGTTCCCTATACCCATCTTTAACGGCATTGGAGGTATTTGTGCCGTTTTGTTTTTTCTCGAACTTTTTTGCAAGATATATCCACGTATCGTCGAGGTCTTTATTGAATTGGTTTGGGTTCTTCTTGACGACGTCTCTTTAAATATAAGGAGAAAAATGAGGATGCAATTAAATGGCGCTCCTTCAAATTTTTCATATTCAGTGAAAAATTATTGATATCGAAAATTAGTAATAAATGGATAAGTCAGAATGGTGCATTTCAGTGGCCACCTAGGTATCCAAACCTCATCGTAATGGGCTTCTTTGTTTCGGGCTATATAAAAAATCTTGTAATCTTGTACACAGTGTTCCACCTACTACTTGCAATGATATGAAGGAAAGAATTTGAGATGCATTTGTCATAATCACCCCAGATATTCTAAGGAATGTGAGAATATCATTTGAAGATAGAATAAGATGCTGTATTCAAGAAATGGTTATCAATTCGCTCATCAATTAAAATTTTTCTTTGTTTCTTCTAAAAGTAAATTTTCCTTTAATAAATATTTTTCATGTTATTCCTAAATTAATTCAGTTAGGTACAACAAACTTATTTATACAAAATTAATCATTTATTCTGCATATAAAATAATATTTTTTATTAGAAAACTTTCTTGAATATTGTCATGATTGCTGCTTTACCTATTCAATAAAGACCTCGATAAAGACTCGTTGATATATCTTACAAAAAAATTCGAAAAAAAAACGAAACGACGCAAATACTCCAATACCGTTAGAGATACGGATAGGGAACCTGTACACAGTTTGAAAGAGTTTTAAATTTCCTAACATCCAAAGTAAAAATATACTGGGTATCCCATTTAAAATAACCAAGTTATTGCACTGAAAGAAATGCGTTTTATTCTTTATTAGAATTCAATATGCCATTATAAGACCATAGTATACTATATGTGACAGTTAAACAGGTGAATATTGGATATAAAACGCGTATTGCTAGCACAGTTGTATAGTGACTATAAACCATATTCTTTATTAAATTATTGTATAACTAGTATACAACGTTTTTTATACCCTTTACGAAATAATAGCAATAACTGTTATTAAAGTGTTCCATATCGTTATTAGAACATCTAGTACTGGTTATAAGTTTTATAATAATAAATGTATTAAACTGTTGTATACTCTGTATGAGTTAAAAACATATGTCATTAAGTTTTCAGAAATTTTATTGGATAACTGTAATTACAAGCTAAGGTTCTAATGTAAACATACATAAAACATACTTTTAAGCATTAAAAATGATGACAAATCGCTCCCAAAACTGTCCAGTTTATTTTCTTAGCAACGATGCACCCGTATTTTCTTGTATTACATGAGAATTTGCACTATAACTCTTCCACCTTAAGAATGAAGCATCCCCAGAAAGGTTGAGCTTCTTTCCATATAATTTTATTTCCTCTGGTTGATTGACTTTATACCCATGCTCTTCTTTGTCACCGTTAACCTTCTGTTCCTCCATCTTATGTAAAACTTAACATCAGCGATTTCTAATAGGACCTACAAAATAATAATTTTTAAGATTTAGACAAGATTTACATTTGAAAAAACAAAACAATTACAAGCCATAAAACAGTTAGATACTTACATAATAATTTTCCATTTCACACAACGCGATATGATCATGTATCCCACAAAACATGTGCATATACTGTCCATTTTCATCAAACTAGACGTGTGTAAGTCGATGCACAGCGGACTGTCGGAAATTTTACGATTGTTGTATTTTCTCTTCTTGAGTAAAGATAATAAAGACGTTGTGGTTTTGTGTGTTTATTTTGACAATGATTGAACATGTATGGACAATAAAAGTGGACTGTATAAGATAGTTGAGTACCGTTCTGCTTCATGCATAGCATGCTACTGAAATCTTAGAAGGGATGAGCTCGTGCGGCGAACCCTAAATCAGCGGCTGGAATAGCCAGGTTTCTTATTGAGTCGGCGCACTTCGCTCTCGGGTCTGACATATGATTATTATTACAAGACTATGAATATAACTTAACAACGATCATAACCGATTATGCACCGAGAGGTGACGATCACTTAACCATTATAAGATGCGTTTTACACGTTAAAAACGGAAACATATTCAGTATAAGAACGAATAATTCTGTTAATACAATTGTTATATACAAATTCGGATACTGGTCTTTATACAACAAATCTTCCCTACTATACAACTGGAATATAAAGTCTATAACACCTAATAATGTATAAGTAATTCATTATAACCTTTATTTCATAGATGCATAAGGTGTATTAAGCACCTTCCAGTTAAACTGATTGAATAATGAGTATGGAGATGATTGCTTTTTTTTAATAAAAGTTGTATATTGGTTATAAAAGTTTTAATATGCGCTATACACAATATTCTAGATAAACAGTTTAATAAGTCCATTTCTTCCAGTGTGCTGTTTAAAGTTGAGAAAAGTATCCAGCAGTTTTTTGAACACCCTGTATAATATTAAGTGACGACAAATGTAATAATTTACAACTTCAAGGATTTAAAATACACTCTCCAAAGCTGTTTCGTTAAAATTATTTTTTTATTGTTAATATTAAATTTCTACGCTAAGTCTGCATTTTCACTAAAATTGAAATATCTCATAAACAATAAGTCCTAGGTATACAGAACCTGTTTTTCCCGGTACTTTCAAAAATGCAGTAAAATGCATAAAATACCATTTACAAATACATAATTTTGATATACCCACCTAAACAGGTTTCTATACCAATTGCCGTTTAATCCCTAGCCACCGAATATAGGGAAAAACTTTATATTACAAAAATTACTCAAAATTTAAGGATATTTCAGATGGACTATATTTCCACGTTCCAGGGAACAAAAAATTTTTTAGTGTCGCCACGCCATCTATACAGAAAAATTTGAACTAACAGTTCTAACTACAATTTGAAGCTATTCGAGTTACCTAACAACCCCAATTTCGAAACTGAACTAAATTTCGTTATTTCAGATATATTGGCAGCGGGAGTGTTAAATGGCACACCCTGTATATTTTTTTATCTTAAATTGTTCTAAAATTCTGAATTATTGATAATATAATAAATATATGGCGGGATTAGTAATTGAAAATATCTATGGGGTGCAACTAAAATATAGAAGTTAGTCAGAAAGAGGAAGAAAAAAAAATCTGGTGGAGCAGGATGTACAATATGCAAATTAATGGCCATCACAGAAAGTTATAATACTTTTACTCAACCCTGACGGGTCTGCGTAAAAAAAAGAAATTGTAAACGGCTATAAGGAACATTTCAATATCGCCTTTGTTTGAGGCGATATCTTCCGAAATCGATCTTTGAACACAAGTTGGTGTAGACATACATGTAAACTCTAGCAGGTAGGCGACGGAGAAGTACATGTATAAAAAGCAGTGTAAAAGTTGTTTCTTCTTGTATTGTAGTTTCTCCTCTCGCCAGACACCAATTCAATTAACTCCAAATATGAAATTGGTAATTGCAGCGGTTGTACTCACTTTATTTATCGTTGTTAAGGTAAGTAATAATTTTGCGTAAATATTGTAATAAAACATATTTTCTTGTCGTATAGTGACTTGTGGAAAGATAACATTCTTTAGATTTCGATAAATATCGATAGGAGTAAACGGTATTTCATTGTTAATTACTGTTTAGCAAAAAATGAAGGTGTTGGTACGTTCCAAAAGTTATAAGAAAATAATTCATAACTTTTTATTACTACCAGTTAGATCACCAATTAGAATCATTAGTAGATTAACTAGATTTAAGCCGTGAAAATTTAAACAGTGGCTTTTGAGCATAAATAAAATAACTTCAGCTTTACCAAAATATTTTACCAACTTTGTTATTTTACATGTAACGTCTAATTTTTTATTACATTTTTAAATTCTACACGTTTTTATAAGCAAAAATCTCTAAAATTAACGGTGTTCGAGAAATTTTTTATTCTTTCAAAATTCTTTTTGCAGCACTTATTTTAAAAATACATATGGACTGGATTGAGGACTTATAGTTTTTATGTTTGTTATTTAAGCTTTTCCTAAAATATCCGTACATAAAACATACATAAACATAAATTTTTAATTCGGAAACTTGATATTTCACGTCTTAAGTCATATTAATCTTCGAAATAGTTTAATGAGTAGCCATCGCGATTCATGTATACCAATTTCTAAATCTTCAGTAAAATTTAAAAATACTAGGAACTGTTTATTATTTATAAATTTTCCAATTATGCAAAAGTGTTTTGTTTTATCAAAATAATTTAAAAAAATAAATTAGTGATAAGTGATAGTGATTAAGTGATACATTTTTGTACAAACTTTCCCAAATTCGGGTCATGTAAAAACTACAGGATGCTTTAAATAAAGGTGATAATGAATTGATTATACTTAAGTAATTTCTTATATACATTATGTACTAATTGTTTGTTTTTCATATTTAAGACAGATGTTTCATAAAATGTAGGTATGGAAATTTTATTATTATTAATTTGAACTTGACGTCTTAGAATAAATAACTAGAAAATTTTGCTTAGTTTGAGAACTCCTTTTTAAAATACCTAATTTAGCTGTTTGTAAATAAATAAAATTGAACCTTGTTAAATAAAAGATATTGACCTCGATAGTAACATTTCAATACCTGTAATGTGACACTCCTTAACATTTAGTTTGTCTGTTTACAAATTGGATATTACCTGTGTATCCTTGAAAAGGAAGACCATACTGAAATACGAAATAATGAGTGCGTACAAAATATATTGTTTTGTTTATAATATTAAAAAGAAATTCACCAACACTTTCATCATAACCAGTAGATATTCTATTTGACTCAGATTTCTTTTATTACATTTATTATTTTCTTATTCCACTGACTATATGGTCGCATGATCAAAGAACTTTGTATTAGTTAACATTTTCCTTTCGAAAATTAAACTTTAAACAAAATTGATTGAAATAGTTCCATTTTTTATTGAAAATTAACTATAGAGAAGAAACAAATTCGTGGCAAAACTATAAATTTTATGAAGAAACTAGGTAAGTTTTAAAATAGATGTTTACTAATATTCTTTAATTTCTTTCCTATAGCTACATATTTAGTATTGACGACGATTTATATGTCTGTTATGAACTATAATTTACGACTGCATGTGGAAACATATAAAAGATTTTAAAAGCACTGTTGAAACAACAATTGTTCATTAAATTCACTCGAAAAAGTCGTTAAAAAAATGTAAGCAGTCAATTAATTATTACTTGACATTGAGTCGGTTAATTCTGTATTTTTATCAAATTTATTTGTTGAAAAAAGTAAGAGGTTATAAAATTATACGTATTAAATTTTGTGTTACTTAGTAAGTGTGAAATCAGCTAGGTACATTATTTTTCCTCAGTAGAGCCAATACAACCTTGCAATATATCCCAATCACACTCTGTACAAAGAAAAAGTGATACATGTTTCCTAGAGTAATAGTTATTTTAGAAAACAAAAAATAATTGACATTTTCCTTAAATAAATTTAAACCAAGGCCATTAAGGTAATAACAATTTGCATATTTTAATTTTTTTCATTATTGCCATTTAAAAAATATATAATGTTGTTTGGTGTTAATGAAAAATGCTGTTTATTTTTATTTGGCAAATATTCGTGTTTATGAGTTCAATCTTTAACACGTTTTGGTGATAACAGGTTGTTCAAAGGTAATCCACATGATTGGCTAAAATTCGTAACCTCGGACATTTTATTTTCACTATAAAAGTAAGGCAAATCATTAAAAAAAATCCCCAATTTTGAATACTTAGAATAGAAAGTTACTTAGTTATTTAGACCTTTTTACCAACTTTGATGTCTTCAGCTAAAGGAAACAGTTATGGAAGGAAGTAAGTTTAGTTAAATAGTTTTATTCTTACTCCTTTTTGCTTATACAGGGTGGGCTCTTGAAAACGAAACAGATTTTTGATCGAAGGGGACATTTTTTCACATCAATTTCTTGTTACAAATTCTATCCCCCTAGGGAGGGAGGTCAATCCCACAAAAATCTTAATAGGGAAGGAAGGTTAAGTGACACATTGTTTGAAAGGTATTCTAATAGTCCTTCTTCGTAGTGACGTCACATACGCCAAATAATGAGCAGTCCCATAGTTATGAAGAATTTCTCAATATTTTTTACTATGTACTTTGGACATAAGTGCTTCTTTGTCATGACCTTAAATATTGCGATAGTCTGGCAATTTTAGAAATATTTAAGTTTCAAACCCCAAGTGACAAACTAATAGAATTAAAGAATTTATATACACGGTGGTCCCGAGGTAATGGGCCAAAATTCATGGGTAGATTCCCCAAGTAAAAATATTGCGATTTAGCTGAACTTACCTTAGTCCAAAAGTTGATAGTTAAAGAGATACAGGGTGTTAAATGTAAAATATTATTTCTTTTTTTTTAATTTATTCCTTAACAAATTCAAATATCTTCACAAAATTTAGGGGATTGGAGTTCTTTGAGTAGAGGAATTGAAATCTGTTCACATTTTGGTTAAAGTTCATAGAGGGCGCTAGCTGCAGTAGATTGAATGTGTTAAAAACGACATAACTTTTTTGTACTTTAAGGTATCTCATCTTTGGTAACAAATTCTTATTTTTCAATTTGTTTTTACACAAAAAAGCTATATTTTATTAAAGTAGCTATCTCGCACCGTTTTCGAGATATTTGGCTTTGAAACTTCCAATGCTGTTGCATTAAATTACAATTAAGTACCTACAGGTATTATTAATTTAGTGATAAAGTTTCTTAAGTAGGATTTGGACGAAAATCAAATAATTGACGTCTTCCACTTGTCTTATTGCTGTCATTTGTATGCTAATTTCTATTAGTATTATTCGTATCTAATTAAAATTACATCTTAGCTTACAAATTAAATTGTATACTCGTATACATAAATGTGAGATAGAATTTCATTTTTGAAGTTACATGAAATCAGTTGTTTATGGAGAAACTATAAACACTTGAGAAGAATTTTAGTAGCAGGTTTTAAATGCTGCAAAGTCATTTCGCATTAAGGATTTATACTTTAAAATAAGACAATCTTTTAATAAACGTGTTGATAAATGTATTGAAGTTAGAGGTGGACATTTTGCGCAATTATTGTCAAAAAGGCATATTTTTTATTAATGCTTACTATTTTACTGTGCATTACAATTTTTAATTCTAAATAAACCCTTGTTTTTGACATTTCTAAATTATTTTAATTATTTCAACTATTAGTATTGGAAGTTTTAATGTCAAATATCTCGGAAACGGTGCGAGACAGCTACTTTCATAAAGTCTACCTTTTTTGTGTAAAAAAATTGGAAAATAAGAATTTGATACCAAAGATGAGATACCTTTAAGTACAAAAAAGTTATGTCGTTTCCAACACCTTCAATCTACGGCAGCTGGCGCCCTCTATGACTATAACCAAAATGCGAACAGATTTCAATTTCTCTACTCAAAGAACCCCAAACCCCAAAATTGTGTGTAGATATTTGCTTTTATTAAGAAATAAATGGAAATAAACTAAAATAATATTTTACATTTAACACCCTGTATCTCTTTAATTATCAACTTTTGGACTAAGGTAAGTTCGGCTAAATCGCAATATTTTTGCTTCGGGAATCTACCCATGAATTTTGGCCCATTACCTCGGGACCACCCTGTATTTAAATTTTTATAGGCGTCATTATAGCTTTTTTTCGGGAAAAAATACTATTGGAAGTTTTTTGCGGAATATTGTCTCAGAAACGTGTTATAAACAAAATATCAAAAAATCAACTCGAGGCTAGTTGGGAAACTTTGTTAAAACAATGATCAAAGTTATGGATAAGTGGTTTTTTGACTCGCGTAAAAAAACTGTTATTCATAGAGAAAAAAGGTTTGTACAAAAATGGTAGGTATTAAATAAGCCTATAAAATGAGATAAGTCCGATTAAATTCCTATAATTTGTTTATGCGCAAGAGCTCAAAAATGGTCGAAAATGGCCGTTTTCTTCAATTGCTAATAATTAATCCAATTTTCATCGCAGACACTTGTAATTCAGGATTTTTGAGGCTTATTACACCCTTAACAAGTGGTAAAAATTTCAACCCGAAAGCTTCATTGGTTTGGCGTTGGCGGAATTTATTATCTAAGAAGATGCCATTTTCAATTCATTTTTCCCAAGCTCAAAGGCGTTGTATAGTTTCGATCAATAGTTGTTTTTGTACCTAAATAGTTGTATTAACATATGCATTTACTGAGAATTTAAGTTTTCAAATTTAATTTGTTTAAAAATGACTGAAAAAATGTTGATATTTATTAAATTGTTAAGATAGGTAATTATTATAAATCACCCTTCAATTTTCAGCAAAACGCTGAAGAATCTTCTGAAAAAGGAAAATTTTCATTTTTCAGCGTTTTGCTGAAAATTGAAGGGTGATGGAGCAATTCTGATGCGGATTCGTGTTCAGCGGGCGAAAATACATCGGAAATCATATGTCGCATGTACATTTCAGACAACTTTTTCTTTTTTTGAGAAAAAAAAAGTTGTCTGAAATGTACATTGACATATGATTTCCCATGTATTTTCGCCCGCTGAACACGAATACGGAGTCAGAATTGCTCCATCACCCTTCAATTTTCAGCAAAACGCTGAAGAATCTTCTGAAAAAGGAAAATTTTCATTTTTTTTGTGTGGTGGCGTTATTAGCAATTGATAAAAACGGCCAGATTTGACCATTTTTGAGCTCTTGCGCATAAACAAATTATCGGAATTTAGTCGGACTTGTCTCATTTTATAGGCTTATTTAATACCTACCTTTTTTGTATACACTTCTTTTCGCTATGAATAATAGTTTTTTTACGCGAGTCAAAAAACCACTTTTCCATAGCTTTGACTATTGTTTAAACAAACTAGCCTCGAGTTGATTTTGTTTATGACACGTTTCCGAACTATATTCCGCAGAGAAACTTCTAATAGTTTTTTTTCCCGAAACAGGCTGTTTCATGTCTATAATGACTGGACTAATAGAACAATATTGACTTTTATAGTAATTAATAAAATAAAATCATATCAATGTCAGTGAACATGCGCATTAAAGATAATTTCATGTAAGCGAAGTAGCTTGGCAACACGATATCATTCAATAAAAGTTTGGTATTGGTTAAGAGTAGGTACGTCTATAATAAACCACTTGAAGAAAAGAACACTCGATAAACCCACTGACACAGTACAACACCAAGAAAAACAATGAAAATACTTAGTAGAACTAGAAAATGTTAAGATTAAACAAAACAAGAGAAAATACGCTAATGAAGACAGCGATAACATATCAACAAGATCTCACCTATGTATGAGACTATTCTTTCCGAGCAAGCGCATTTGGAATAACACGGCTAATGTTAAATTTTTTACTTTATTTAAATTTAGGAATATTCTTTTTTATCGTTTTTTTTTAAGTTGTAAGCACATTAGTGTGTTTACTTTACGAAACATGTGTTGGTTGTTCTTAAATACTTCCAAATCCTTGTAAAAATTAATTAATTTGATTTTTGTAGTATCTATGTAAATATTATTCGGTCTGTACAATTTCATCTATGACAATTTGATTGCGGGTTGCCTAAATATGTGACGTCACACTAAAAGAGTCTATTCTCTACACATCCGTGTTTTATTTTGTGAATTTGACAGATTAGTTTCGGAAACACCGGTTGTTAATAAAAAATCCTAAACGGTAACATAAGTTTTGTAAAAAGCGTTCACGCACATTTTATATCATTTCTGGACTAACTTGGCGCCATTCGTTGACATTTGCGTTGGCGTAGATCTTGACGGGAAGTAGGTAGGTGGAGTGAATTAAATTTTGTACTTTAAGTGACCCCACAAGAAAAAGTCCAAAGAAGACAAATCCAAGCCATTCTATATCGCCTTTTCTCTCAATCCACTGATTCGCAAACCTACGATCAATATACTGCCAAACAGGCAGCTATCCTGTTGGAATATCAACTGACCTTCGAGACCAACGCTGGATCAATGTTGTTCTCCAGCAAATCCCAGTGGTACTTGATAAGAAAAAGGAATCAACTATACGGTCACCAAAAATTCCAGCCCATCGGTACATTTAATTTTTCCGGATGTTGTGCATGACTATAAAATATCGTTTGGTTATAATCGGACCTATAACGACAATTATGACGATTGATAGTGTCATTAATAGAATTATTTCACAAAATTGTAGTAGGCGGACAAAGTCATCTTCATGGAGTTCCTGTGCAAGGTGAATTTTGTATGGTTGAAATTTATAATGTTTCAAAATGTTGCGAATCAAGTGCACACCTGCCTCGTATTCGTTCTGAGATTTATAGAAACATCTACTGCTTCATTTCTCTCTACCTACAGATCCAGTCTCTTCAAAGTTATTGCCCACCAACTCCAGAGAGTACTTCCTGTGAATATGTTTATCCAAGTGATTAAATATTTCTGCCGCCCTATTAGCATACTGATTATTTTCATTATCATTTTGAACACTTAATTGGCTGACAGATAGTAATTTGCAAATAAAATTTTAAAAAGTAGGTTTTTTATTAACAACCTGTATCTCCGAAATTAATCGATCAAATTCAAAAAATAAAACACGATTGTGTAGAGAATTAGAATACCTTTCAAATGATGTATCACTTAACCCTCCTCCCCATTGAAATTGTCGGAGGGTTGCTTCCCTCCCTATGGGGGTAGAGTCCGTTACAAAATATTTACGTTAAGAGATGTCTCCCTTCGATCAAAAATCGTCCTGTCTCAGCGTTTTTCTAAAAAATAATTTTCCTGAGAGTTATTCGCTCTGTTTCGTGTTCAAGAGCCCGCCCTGTATAATAAAAATCGAAAGAGATAATGTATTGAAATTTGATACATGATACTAGATCCTACAAAACTTTCTAGTATGCTGGCCTATCAATTAATTGTTGATATCGTGAGAGTGTGAACAATGTATTTATTGGGAGAACAATGGAGAGTTCCAAATGCTTTCAATATTTGAAAACAAATCCTTGAAAATTATCTTCGAACAAATAGCAAAATAAAATAATGAACAAAAATAAACGGTGAAGTTAAAAATCTTGTATTTAATGAAGACGGTTGTGAATCTTAATAATACTTCAAAAAGACCGGTAATACGAACAGTCCCACATGATTCTATTATGAGATTTCTTAGATCCTGCACATTGTCAATTAGCTTTACATAGGTATACTAAAATTTTTAAATATCCCAAAGAAAATAAGCTAGGATATTTAAGTCTGGTAACCTATAAGGTCATAGTTAGTTGGATTGAACTGCATCATCTATTTTTACCTATACACTCTCAAATATTTGCGAGTAGAAATGAGGTGATGCTTCGTTATATATAAACCATAAACTACATTGCAAATTAAGTAATACAGTTTCAATAAGGGCCGGTAGTAGATTTTCAATGAGGTCAAAGTAATCTTAACGGTTGCGTGAGGATTTTCATATGCTCATTTCTGGCTGTTGTGAAAATTTCGTATGCAAACTGCATAGATCAACTAGCCTCATCAGTAAAAATAATGTGAGTTAGAAACAAAGGATTTTCAGCTATAAAAGCTGTAAAAGATCCATTAATAGAAATTTAGACCCAGAGGCAAATCATCTAGAAATAATGCTTGTACTCTCTGAAAATGGTGCGGACAAAACTGATGTTTCAAATTTTTTCAAATTTTTTGGTAGACTTACGTTAAATATAGCACTTAATTTTAGACGACCTGGACGATCATATATTTCATTTAGTACATCTCTGAATTTTCAAGTACTTTTTTATTGTTATTTATTCATTTAAACTAATTATATATTATTTTCATTTTCATTTGAATATTAACTTTAATCGCAATTAACATTTTCAGAAATTTCTTGTCATGAATCACAACTTTTCTCAATTTTCTTCGACACTTCATCTTTTCTCGCTTCTGAGGTCTTCTATATAAGCTTCGACCACTGAAGATGACTTCCACCCCCTATACTCTTGACTGCAAAGCAGCAATAGCCTAAATTCAATAATTTCAAAAAAAATCTACAATTTCCATTATACAGAGTTATTATTATAAAGAAACTGTTTGGAATTTTCAAAATTTAAAAACGAATCCGTGATTGCCATAAAATTCTGCACAGTTTTGCCCATTAAACTATTTCTATAACTCTTAAAATAAAAAAGATTATTATATGTTGCATTGTTGCAACCTGTAATGGAAATTCTAAATTACTAAAATCATTGAGGGAAATATTTATACAAACTCCATCTTCATGAACCTTCAGTCTTGTGAAGCATTTTTTAAAAATCTAATGACATATGGTTTCAAGACCTTCAATTTTTTAGGATTATAACCATCAGTTAATTTAATTGGCAACGTAATAAGCTTGCTATATCTGAAAAAATTACGAAGCGTTATTTGATGGAGCGGACTCATCAGACTTAGGTATAACTTACATAAAAATGTCACAATTTTCATATACCAATAATTTTGACGATATCATCGGGTATTAAGACTATGACTTTGATGATGACTTTGCTTTCTTTGGCAGAGTTAGCTGCTATAGTGTATCAAATTTAGTGTAAGGTACATGTTATTTGGGCAAAACTATATTTTTTCTTCTGAAATAAATAAATAAATACTTTATACATTAATGTGAAAAACCAATTTTGTAATCTTTAATATGCAACAGATATATACTCACTAACTAATTTAAATAACATTTTTATATTTCTTCATGCAAATTTTAAAAGATTGTCCTGTGCAGGCCGAGCTGACTCTGGAGCAGCTCAAGAAACTGAAGGATCACCGCGAGAACTGCATCAAGGAATCCGGCGCAGATCCAGAGGTAGTGGCGAAAGCGAGGACAGGGAACATTGCGGAGGACCCCAAGCTGCAGGAACACCTCTTATGCATGTTCAAAAGGATCGGCTTCATGAGCGAAGAGGGGAAGATTCAAAGAGACGTGCTAAGGAGAAAACTTGTGGATGTTATTAAAGACGAAGAACTGGCCGATAAGCTCATTGGCGAGTGTGTAGTTGAAGCTTCCACCTCACAGTTGACCGCTTTAGAGAGCTTTAAATGCTTCTTCACTAAAACCGGTTTGCCGATAGTGTAAAGGATTCACATTTTTGTTTTATGGTTGCTTATCAACATTGAAAAAAGCATAGCAAAACTGTGTTTTTCAAAGAATGTTTAAAATCTAGACCTACAACCTACTACTAATCAAACCGATTTTAGTGACTTCCTAGAAATAAGCCATAAAATAAATGACTAGAAAAAAGTATTGGAAAACTGAAGACTTTAATTTTTTATTATCTTTTGTGACATTGTGATTTTTTAGTGATTCCATCCATTTTGTGTGAATAAATATTTTTAATAACAAATTTGTTATAATATCAGTCGTCTTTTACTAGTGCTAATCACTGAAATAGAAAAGAAAGTTCTAAAAACGTATTACAGAATTACATAAACTATAGATTTATTAAAAAAAATATGTTTTACTTTCTGCCAGTAAAATAAAAGACAATACAAACACGCTTTACAAATTATTTTTTCGTAAATATGTTCATTTTATTAAAGTCACCTGCCAATGGAATGATAAAAAATGTAGAGGTTCCTTAATAATAAAATTCTATTGTTATAGTTAGTAGTAATAGCTAAAATCACGAAATTGATAATAAGTAATTTCAAATATGTAAAAATTGTTTTCTCTTTATTTTGATGACAATATGATAGCGAATTTTGTACTTATATCCCATATAGATAGTTTGAATCAAACAGGCAGAGAAGATTATTATTTTGACAAATAATAATATAACAATAATTTAGGAAACAATTGACATTTGAATAAAATTTGCGACTATTTGCAAGGCACGAAGCTCAATAAATAAATTTACTTGCTGATATATTTAGATATAATTTTAAATAAATATACGTCGTGGATCATTATTGTGACAAAGTATAATAACTCTGACACTATTACAGACAAAAAAATATTAAAATTAAAATTAGCGGGTAACATATAAAAGTGCAGTGGTAAAAAAAAATGATGTTTTATAAATTGAACACCATATATCTTTCCTATAGGGAAAATGAGTAATATACAATTTAACCACGTTTTTAACTTATCAAACGCAATAGTTCGATATTTTTTATCATTAAAAATAATGCCAGAGTTGCCTATGGATTAAAGAAAAACATAATACATGCGTACGTTTTATGGAATAATTCGATGTCTTAATACTTTTTGCCCAATTAAATACTCAAATCAGTTAAACGTTTCGGCTTATGGCGGGTAGCAAAGTTAAGTTATTTAATAATTTAATAATTATAAAACCAAAGGATTTTCGAAAAATATTATTAGAGTAAAGTTATTGCTTTTAATTAGTTAAATGTATGGTCAAAAATTTGGTCTTTATTTTTGAGATACTTTTGAATTTGTCATACAATTTTTGGTGGTAGTACACATTTGCAACACGCTGTATGACGACATGTTCAAATTTTGTTTAACATTAAAGGAAAATAGCATTAGTAACTCCATGTATAAAATGGAGTTTATAAACAGTTCGTGCAGAAACACAGAATTTTAGAAACTTTTTAGAACATAAAGAAGAATTTGGTATTGTCACATATCGGTTGGTGTGACATGGGTTAAATATGTCCATATTTCTCTTATGGAGAAAATAAATATATATACACACTTTTGTAACATGGCGTGGCCTAGCATGGGGTGGATGTTGCTAGTGGGTTTCGGCCTTTATACCCAAAATTAAAGGAGAAATTGACATAAAAACATGAAGTACGAAATAAATCAACATACCTATTTTAAAAATTTAAAGAATTTCCAGAACAATTAGGAAATGTCAAACCGAATAAAATTTGTATCACCATGCGCTGAATTTTATGAAGAATTAATGTAGATGATTAAATTAAAAAATATAGATTTTATACTTAACAATTAATTTGATATTTGAAATAATACCATACTATACTGGTTTGCTTTGTCTTACCTACTAATAATTTTTTTACTATGTATTTCGGTATAAAATTATGTATTTTTAAGAATCCGTGGTCTAAAATTTAGTGTTAACAAAATTAATTGTTTATTTATATGTCACAAGTATTTAATTGCTGTTGGCATTACATCGATTACTGGAGCTGTCATGATATGAAAATTATATTTAGTTTTTTTTATATACCTACAATCAAAGAAGGTGTTTACATCAAATTAAGAAGATATCTTATCAAAATAGACATCGGAAATTTTGTGGCGACAATCAAGTAAATGCAGTAATCTATACTATGTAAGTAAACGGTCAAGCCATGTGCAGCTCTATGCTCAAGATGCACAATGCTACTGGCTGCGATAGTAAAACGTGTCATACATTCGACCAAGCAAAGCGTCAAACTCACTTACATACGCACAAACAACAATGAACTGTACGTCCCTCAGCAAAAAAAAAACGAGATTGTTCACCGGCACGCCAGACTGACAGGGCAAGTATTAGGGTGCCGCTAGATACGTATTGAATAAATTGATCGATGCGAAGCTTCAAATCAGATGTAGACATGTACATGTGATTGTGCAATGACGCGGATAGTGGGACCACTAAAATATGATGCTTTATTACCATTAGGAGAAATAGTAGCATCTATTAGATACTTCGACTATTTTGGATATGCCCCTGTGATCTCGGTAAATGTTAAACGATTATTTTCTACAATCTCGTTCCTTATGAGTAAGACATTATTATTTTGTTAATTTTTGCTGGTACTTATTATTATGTATATACGAATATTAAATAACCGTTATTTCTTACATATATCAAAGTTAGTACATCATATTCTGTTCTTTCAGTTACAAAATGTGATATATTAGAAATTCAAAAATAGGTATACAAATATTGGTGGAACATCTTATTTGTGCTTTATGACTTTGTACATAGATAATAGTTGGTAAGATAGAGCACTTGTAGGTAGCAAAAATAAATACTCAGGATGTTACAAATTAGTAGGTTAACCCGTTAACCTCATATTCTTTGGACTAAAATAATGTGACTTTTCTTATGCCACTTTTTATTTCGGATGCCCATTTTCAAAATACAAGGTGTCAAAATTAAAATAAAAAAAAATGATTTTTATTGATAACTCCGGTTATCGTAGAGATATTTATTTAAAATTTAGCTCATATCTTGATCTTAACTCGGGCCACTTTTTGTGTAATTTTGCTTGAAAATATCAAAGTGCGAAAAGGGAGGGGGGGCGATAGGGTTGCAGTACCCATGAACTCCCTATTTCTTTTAGTACGCTTATGCTTTCCGAATATTTTTTTAGATAAAGCGGCGTTTTATTTTTTTTAAGATTTTTATTTGAGGCCTCGTTTAGGATTTATTGTAACTTTTGTGGATACGCGACATCAATTTAATCAACGTTAGACTTTAATTTTTGGGATTTTATCAAAAAAATTTTTTATATGGAACCAATACCAACTAAACAACAGGTAAAGAACACTTTGGGCTGAAACCACATGTTTTGATTTAGGCTTGCTGTATGAGATTTGCAACTTTTTTTAGATATGTTAGATTTAGCTCAAATTAAATATCGCTGATCATGATGATGATTATTTTGTTCAGTAAATTAAAATAGATAAGATGACTCAAATCTTACATATAGCCCCAAAAATAAGGTCTAACATCGACTAAATCGATGTCGCGTTTCGAAAAAAGATACAACATCTCGTAAACAAGTCCCCAAAGAAACATTACAAGAGTGAAATAAATATAATAAAGCGCCGCTTTATCTAAAAAAAATATACCTACAAAATGTAACAAAAGCTGGGACGCGTAGTAATTTATTTATTAGTTCTCGGAACGGATGGGCCAAAAAGTAAAATATTTCAGTCAACACTAATTATCGAAAGTTGAGGCCTTTCAAGTAGGTAGCGTCGTCTTTCGGAGAAATTTAGCAATATTTTTTAACAAGTTCACTTAAACTGTCGGGGCCATGTGTTGAGCATCTAGTATAAAGAGAAAAATAACGCGCGAAATGCATTCCAAAGAACGTAGGAATTCCAAGAATAAGTTGTTAAAATGTTGTAAGGAAAAGAAAGTAAAATAGCTGGTTTTTAGACGGATTTTCTAAGCTATTAAGAATATAGTAAATGAGCTATAGCTAATCCGTCCCGTATTGCTATGCGGAGTCACAAGAGGAAGGTATAGGGTTGTTTGTAAGTCCAGTCAATTAGGTAATTATTAACATGGCATAGTTATGCAAAAGCGTCCTGACATTCAGGGTTCCCGCCAATAACATAAGAACAGAAACTTCTGGACCCAAGAAATGGGCGTGTCGAAGCGAAGTGTCGAATTCGGGAAAGTTCTACGAGAGAAAGTCAGTTCTTCCTTAGGTTCCACATTGAGAAGTCGACTTAATTTTAGAGTCTCGCGCTAATTAATTAAATTTAATAAAGTAAAGAACACTTTGGGCTGAAACCACATGTTTTGATTTAGGCTTGCTGTATGAGATTTGCAACTTTTTTTTAGATATGTTAGATTTAGCTCAAATTAAATATCGCTGATCGTGCGATCGAGAGTCTCGGGCTAATTAATTAAATTTAATAATGGATAAAGTTTTTCCCAAATTTTGCTATGAAACACGCATTCCCTGAATTTCGGTACGCTGTCGCGTGTCAATAAAGTAATTAATAATGTTGTTCGAGCCGTTGTGTTGTTATTTTGTTTGTTTGTTTTGTTTATTGTATTAAAACCCTTCCTGGAAGTTTTGCTGTTTCCTTTTGTTTCTCTCAACTTCAGTGACACCTTATATAGCCAGCCACTGGATTACATTCTACGTAAGCAACAGAGGGTAAGTGCCTGAAATTCATTCTCTGAACATACAACATTTCTAAGTTCCCACGTATTAATTAAAAGGTAATGATAATTATTAGAGAGCGGACAATGTGTGTCTTTAATCCGAAGAATAGGTCAAATTTTGGTAGAGATGCGTACGCGTTCAAAAATGTATTGTGTATAAACTATGCAAAATATAATTATTATGTATAGCAAATATATCGTATTATCCTCGCGAAGATTTGTATCCTTTATTTAAAATCCATAAATCATGTGAACAGGTTAAATAACAAGAAAATAATTAAGTTAATTTAGTTCTAAAGAAATGAAATGACACTCGCGCCCATCTCTAGTCCATCCGTCGACATCGGTTGCGTTTATCGAATTCCTATTGGTCAGAATTCAAACTGCAGCCCTGTTATGAATGGAGCGCAAGTTGGACAATTCTATCATGTGCGTCGCCTGAGGGTATTCATTACATTAACTCCTAATTTTTAACTGAACTTTATTTAATAAATATGTAGTTATACAATTTCTGATTTTCTAAATATTTTATAAAGCCTAAAAATATATGTACCGTGGAATTTTCGCGAATTATCACGTAATTTTCCGATGCGTACCCGACACACCACTGCGTCATGGATAATCTATCTATGTTTATGAATGACATATCTATGTTCAAGGTTAAATACACTAATTGTCCGCTCTCTGATAATTATAAACTCCCTTTCGACAATTAAATAGTAAACTCTTTTAAAATCCAGACTCGTTATGATACTGGTCATAACGGTAGATAGATAACTAAAGAAATAACCCCTCAGGTTACAAAAAATAGAGGGTCAATGGGTACTGCAACCCTCTCCCCTCCGTTCGCGCTTTGATATTTTAAACCAAAATTACACAAAAACTGTGCCGACTTAAGATCAAGATATGTGCTAAATTTCAAATAAATATCTCTACAATAACCAGAGTTATCAGAAAAAACAAATTTTTCTTAAAGAACTTTGAAATTATGACATAAAATAACCTAGTAGTGCTCATTAAAGTATTAATTAATAAAAAAAACTTTTAATTGTATGTACCTATATAAGTTTGTCATGTTTTATAGTCTACTCATTGCCCAGTGATTCATTCCAATATGAAGTCGTTATTGTTATTGATTGTTCTTGGTGTTCTTTCAGTTCAGGTAATACGTTGTATATTTTTAGAAAATGAGTGCCCATACCGTATAGCAAATTAGAAGATTTCTTTTATTCTGATTTACGAAAGTTATTTTATATGATTTATAATTTTACAAAATATTTTCAAATTAAATATCTGCAATTCCATGCAAACGAAATTGAATTAAATCAAGTTTTTTATGTAACGGTTATTTTCAGAATTTGGATTGGTGGAAAAATGTGTAAAAAAATAAAATCTGTTTATTACTACAGATGTTTCTAAGTCCATATCATAACGTTAGCAAAAAAAGTCTAAAGAAAATACAGTTTGTTAGAATTTCAAAATAAACATTTAAATATTTCTAAATATATTTCACATAGATTGTTTAAACTATGGCTAAGATGTAAATTGCCAATTTGGCAACCAGAAGCAAAGAATATTGTAAAAGTTTCATAAGTGATTTAATTTCTGATCTTATTTCTAAAAAAAAGTATCTTCCAGTTTATTAGATTGAATAAATCCAAAATAATTCTAAAAAATTTCTTTAATAACAATATTGTGCATATATTTTTCGTTCCAAACGTAATTTTAAATAAAATTTAACCATCAAAATTAAAAAAAAGTCACTAGCATTAACCTTCGTTAATAATTGTTGGTTATACAGGGTGATTCACTTTCTATGATTAGGACTTTAACCATCGATAGATCTCATCAAAATAATATCACTTTGAAGTATACATTTTTTCTTCCAAATCTCTTTTAAAGATACAAACTCTTGAAAAAACTTTTTTTTTGGTTTTTATTTAATTTTTCTTAAACTATGAAAGCCATTTGTTTTATATTTAGTTTCATACTAAAGTGTACGAGTAAAAGGTTCTATCGGTTTTATAAATTACTCTGATAATCCCCATTTTTAATATAATTTCTACGCTACTGGAAATTTTTCAAAATTAATGTATCTTTTTACATTGCGGTTTATTCTACAGCAAAAAGGTCTCTTACTATTTATAAATGAAATGCTTGATTTTTGATAAAAATGGCTTCTTATGGATTCATTACAATTAGGTAAAGTATATACAACACTATTTAAATTCAAGATTAAGAAGGGGTCCAGAATATATGAGTTACCTATGTGTTAATAATATTTGAAGGTGATCTAAAACTATTTTTTTTATTTTATTACTTAAAGAAACTGTTGTAGGTGGTACAGATTTTTTGAAAAAAATATCATGATCCTTGAAGGTGATTCTTAGAGTACCAATTGTTTATAAGTATTCTGACATATTTCCTCAGTCATTGATTTTACGTTGCATTATTAAATTGATGTATTTGTTTGTTTCTCAATATTAAATATTTTATTCTGTATCACTTTGTTTGAAAACCCATTTCACAATCAGTGAATCTATATAAGAAGCCATTTTTATCAAAAACCAAGCATTTAATTTTAAAATATAAGAGACCTTTTTGCTGTAGAATAAACCGCAATGTAAAAAAAAATATATTTATTTTGAAAAATTTCCAGTGGTGTAGAAATTATATTAAAAATAGGGGTAATCAGAGCCCCTTACCGCCTATGATTGATCTATTTTCACAATAATTTGTAAAATTGATAGAGCTTTTTATTTGTACACTTCATACTAAATATAAAAAACACAACATTCTCTTTCACTGGCTGGTGATTAGTGTAATTTTTTCACCAATCAGCGATCGTATTATCTCGAACGTAGATTTGTCGTTGTTCATTGTAAACGAATCATTAATGTTGGTGACGCTAAAATTTTTTGGGATTTTTAGTTAATAGTACGAGCTGTGAAATATTGGTTTAAAACCCATTTTGAATGATGTCTGGAATAAAGGTCGAAGTTTTCGGGATTACTTCTTCTAGCTGAGTTATTTGGGGTGAATAGTTTTCATGTGATAGCACCGTATACAGGTTGTTCGGCAATTATTTGCTAATCTCTTGGGAAAATCTGTACTACTCCCTACACGACTTCCGATAATATCGGGCCCCAAAGGAGTTCCTAGAGACCACATCGTATATTTTGATAAGACTTTGGCTTAGTGTATTACAGCTAAATGTCCGTGATATTGTGTTAAAAACTAATTTTTTTCTGTTACTAGGAATTGGAAACAAACTACCCTTAACAAATATTTTTCAAAATTTTGACTGATATACTGTCGATATTATTTTTACATACTCTGAACATTTTTCTTTAAAAAGTTTGCTCCTCATTTATTTCGATAAAATACAAGCTGTATTTTATCGAAATTGAATTAATCATAAAAGCAGTACAAAAGTAACAACAATCAGAGCTTCAATTTTTATGAATTATTTCATGCGCTTAATTTATTTAACGAGTCCAAAAACTTTTGATGTGGCTTAAAGGAAACAGGTTACAAATTTAAAGTGACATTCATTAGGCAACTGTTAAAACTGGGCTTCATGCAAAACAGTACTCTGTCTCATTTTCTTCGTTTGGTACGTCAGAGCAATTTAATATCTAACTTTAAATCAATCAGTTATTTAAAATATTATTCTATTCCAGTGTCAACTCAACTATTTAAATGGTGAAATGTAGTTTGATGTATTTTTTTGTACATATTATGTCATTTCAAATTACCATTTTTAGTCATATTTAATTAATACAAACTTAGTCTGAAGAAAATAATTAATGATTTATTAAATGGTATTTAAAAGCAAGCAAGGTCTAATATACAGGAAAAACCTGAAATATATTATTTAATATGCAGGGCAAAGTCAATGGAAAAATGGTTCGGAAATTAATTAATAATAATCATCAGCTGTAAAAATGTATGAAATTACATCCTAATGCAGTTTTCATAACATTTTACTGGACTGTGCCGTTTAGAGAGAGAAACCGATACAATTTGTATCACATTAAATGCGTATTGATACTTAATATATTAAAAAATAATTTAAATATATTTTTTTTATTTTATACACCACCCAACAGAAAATTCTATTTACAGGATGGGTAAAAACAGAAAAATACAATACATTTAATAACTAAATAACATAATACAAAAAAAGATGTATACTAACATACTTAACCTATGTAAAACACCTTGAATATAATGCATGTTCACTCAATGATTATTATTAGTATTACGTTTGCAAATAGGTCCAAAGACTCTTAATGGTTAATATAGTAACTGCACATTTGGTATATAGGAGAATATTTGAGAATATTTGTACGAGGAGTTGATAAATAAAAACACTGATCATGCCTGGATGTTGCACGAGGAACATGAAAATATAAATAACTAATCAAATCACAGCTGTCTATAACACCCTGACATAGCTTATGAAGAAAAGAAAGTGAGAATTTGTCTCTTCGATCCTTCAATGATGTTAGAGAAAATATTTTAAGGAGATCATCATGAGGAAAACCAACACATGGATAAACATTATCCAATTTAAATGACAAAAATTTTAAGAATTTGCGTTGTACATGTTCTATATTGTTAATATGTATATTGTAATGTGGATTCCAAATAATGCACGCATACTCCAACTTGGAACGAACAAACGCAATGTACAACAATTTTACACTGTTTTCATTGGCGAATTCACGACTATTTCGCATTATAAATCCCAGCTTTTTTTATATGCATTAGCCAGTACGGACTGTATATGATCGGTAAACGTTAGATTGGAATCGAAGGTTACACCCAAGTCTCGAAATGTTGTTTCCCTGTTTAAAATTTGCTCATTTATATTATAACTATATAATGTTTTTGTGGTTTTTGTGGTGAATGTCATGACACAACATTTCTGTATATTAAAGTTTAAATTGTTATTAGTGGACCACTCATATATTTTCGATAAATTTTACTGTAATTTTAGGCAATCTTCAGTACACGCAATACTTGAAAAGATCTTAAAGTCATCCGCATACATCAGACAGGGGACATCCAAGTCATCCATAATGTCATTGACAAAAATATTAAAGAAGAGATGACCCAATATGGACCCCTGAGGGACACCAGAAGGACTGATGTATTCGACAGACTTGTGACCACAATAAGAAACATATTGACACCTACCAGATAGGTAGGATTTAAAAAAATCAATTAAGGTGTTGGAGATACCGTAGTGGTTTAATTTGAACAGTAGCTTTTTATGATCAAGTCTGTCGAATGCTTTGGAGAAGTCAGTATAAATGACATCTATTTGGAGGTGTAAATCAATGGTTGTGGCAATATACTGAGTTATACACATTAAATTTGTTACAATTGAACGACCTTTCATGAAACCATGTTGTTGAGGAGATAAGGCACCTTTTACATGGTTATATAATGGTTTATATAAAACAATTTCAAAGCACTTTGAAAAGTTGCATATAATTGTAATGGGCCGAAAATTAATGATTTAATTTTTTTTTACCTTTTTTAAAAACAGGACATACTTTGGCTCTTTTCCAACAGGATGGATTTGTATTAGATTTAATTGCAAGTACATAGGCACAATCTCTTACAAAGAAGGCTGGAATGCCATCCGGTCCTGTGGTAAATTTAAGTTTCAATTGTTTTAGTGCTTGTATTACTTGTTGGTCACTAACTGAATCTATTAGTAAAGTACTGTTGGTTCTAATGACTCTTTCACTTTCACAGGCTGTCACTTTATTATTAGAAAATTACTTTACAAAAAAATCTGCAAAAGCATTAACAATATTAGACTGGCCTTGTATTCAAGCTCCATTATATTCCATGTCCCCCGAGATGTCAGAAGTACCTCTTTTATTATTTACAAAAGACCAATATTTGTTAGGCTCAGATATCACAGCATTTTCCAAGTCTTGGGCATATTTTATTGAAGCTGCATTAATATCAGCTTTTAGTACAGCTCTAAGTTGTTTGAACAAATCTAAATCATTAGGATCACCAGATTTCTTATATTTGCGTCTAGCCCTCTCTTTTAATCTAATATTAGCAATTATATTAGTATTAAACCAAATTGGATATCGCCTTTTACGCGTAGAAGTTATCCTAGGTACGTGCTGATCAAGAATTTTATATAATTGATTGTAAAACGCAGCACAAGCTTCATCAATATCATTAAACTGTTGAAGAATACTCCAATCGGCATTGATAATTTATTCATATAGATTGGGAAAATTCGCCTTACGAAAATTATAATGTCCCACAAAATTATCATCAAAAGCTACATACCGATCTGCCTTAAAATTGACNATTGGAAAAAATTTCAGCTCTTAATTTTAATTTTAAGTAGGTACATTTCCCTCTATATATGAACAAACAATATGAATACAACATATAAATAAACAAAAAAATTTATAAATGCATACAAATATGCTACTATAATAAATAATGATGTTGAGTACATTTTAATATTATAATTATACTGATAAGTACAACTAAAAGGTAATTAGCATACTGTTCAATGGCTAAATTAGTAAGAGCATTTAATGATCAACGGAAAAAATCACAAGGTTGCTACAATCGTTTACAGTTATCATTCATGACGTGCATTGGTGATCTGAGTGAAATGTACATAAAACTTTATAGCAGAAAGCAATTCAGATATTCAGCAATAATATAATATAATATAATATAATATAATATAATATAACATAATATTTAATTGTAGATGTCTAATTTAAATTGGACGGGGTTCTTGACTTTCCTAAAATTGTATATAGGTAGAAATATATTTACAAAAAAAAGCAAAATGCCGTAGACATCCAAGAATAAAGAAAATGCACAAATAAATAAAATATTTGTAACAGTCATTAACACCAAAAACCAGTGAGGACTTTCATATCTTTGCTGAACCACTAAAATAATTAAGTGTATTGTTGTAGATAACAATTATTTATGGTGAAAACATATTAAATTGGTAATAGGTTTAATAAACAGGAAACAAATTAATATTATTTTTATAAAACCAAATATAGGAGGTATCCAACAAAGTTTGGGAAGATGTGGAACCACAGGTCAACTTATACAGAGTCAACGTCTACTTTTCGTTTCGGTTTGGTTAATAACTGCTTATTTGGTACACTTCTTTATTTATTTGAGTGTAACTTATTTTCAGAATATACAGGCTGTTCTAAAACAATATGCAAATATTGTAATACGCCATATAAACATGATTCTTAGTTTTCAATGTATAGAGTGTTGGAAGTTGATCTTTGAAGATGGTTTTCTTTTAAAATATTCGAAACGTTTAGATATATTTTGGTACATGAGCATATTAATCTTTTATTGCCTTACAATATAAAATGAGAGTAAGTAAATAAAGATCATCATAGGCAAATTAAAACAGAAGGCTGTGGGATAAGTACTGTAGTGATTTTTTTTTTATAATTTACAATTTCAAAGTTTTCTACACAAAATGGATTTGAATGTCACATCACTGAGATGAACCTACCGTTGTTGAGTAAAATAATTTTTAATAATTGAATAAGAAATATTATGTGTAAGAAAATGCATGACAGTCACAATATTTTTGTTCATTTCCTACATTCTTAAGGAGGTATATCGGGTTTACTCAAATGCACAGATGTACTTGAAATTTATATAGCGTATTACCCAGTGCTCCCTCTGTGAGTCATATTTTTTTGAATTTTTTTTTGAATCTAGATTTTGAGATATTGTTGTTGAAAGTTGTTCATTTTAACATAGGTTTATATAGCGAAGATGGACGGTGCGGCTCTTTTTTTGCTCATAACTGAGAAAAGAATGTAGAAATTGTGAAACAAAACTTTTCCATAGATAGTACACAGTATTATCTTATTTTTGATGTAAAACTAATGTAAGTTTTGAACATAGTACAGCTGTATTAATTAGAAACAGAAACCAATAATTGCATTTCTGTCTGACTTGAGGATTAATGTGGCAACGTCGCAATCAGCTGACAGCAAGGAGGGAATACATTTGAAAGACTTGATAAAAACGAAATTGATTTCAAACATATACATTTTTCCTAAATCCCATGTACATTGTTATCAACAATAAATTATCCACAACAGATGATTTTTTGTAATGTTTTTAAAAAACTAGATTAATTAAAAAAGACTAGGAAGCTGTGATATATTTATTGGAATAAAAAATACAGTTGATAAATCCTTTTAATATATTTAATGGTTTATAAAAACATCGTAATCATTACCCAGCAATATTTAGGGTTACATAAAGTTTTCTTTACTTGATTAATATAATTAGTAATACTTGAGATAAAAGCATTTGTACGGAATAACAAAGGAACATAAATATTTCTCAGCAAACTTTATATCTAAAAAATTAGTTATAGTTGCAAAACTTTTGTAACATTACTAAAATAGAGATTAAAAACACGAACAGTGAGTAATAATGTAATTTCTATCACAGAACCTTCAAAATTGCATCCAACATTTTCTTTGACTTGGACGAGAGATGGGCGCGAGTGTCATTTCATTTCTTTAGAACTAAATTAACATAATTCTCGTTGTTTTACCAGTTCACATGATTTACGGATTTTAAATAAAGGATACAAATCTTCGCGAGGATAATACGATATATTTGCTATATATAATAATTATATTGTACATAGTTTACACACAATACATTTTTGAACGCGTACGCATCTTTACCCGAATTTGACGCGCAATATCTCCGATGTCCGAGGTCTGTAGGTTCGCAGTGTGTACAACTGCTAGTCAATTATTAGCGCTGTTGCCACATCTACATAGTCTTTATGCGTTCATTAAATATAATTTAAAACTACTTAAATATGATATTTTTATGTTGTTAATTAGTAAATATGTATGCTATGTGCATATGAGTAGATTTCTTTGCTATATAGATAATGTTTATCGCAAATAATTTCAATAGAATTTAATTTTTTCAAATTGACAACGGGTTTTAGTCCCATAAGAAAAGCATAGGACCCCCATGTAATTTCTTATACGAGTTTTTATGAGGCTGAATTAAAAGTAGAACAGATAAATCTCAACATTAAATGTGCTGAAATATAGAGAAGAATTTGATTAATGTGATTCTTTTTATTTAAAACACAATTCAAATCCAAATATGCACGTGTTTATATACAGTGTGCAATAATCTCGTAGAGAAATAGTTTCTTCCTTATACGTGGTGACAAATATGCAAGTGTAATCGAGGGCATTTTAATTTAGAAACAATGGGCCAGTGCAAGAAAATTTTCACCAAATATTTCTTTCCGACTTTTTGCTGCAAGATCATTCATTGGACCGTATCAGTGTCCCATATGTCAAAATATATTGCAACTAAATCTAAATCGTAATTGGAGAAAAGGCAGAAATGCCTGAAAGAGGTTCTTAATAAAAAAACTTTCTTTTCGTTTTTTAATATTATATTTATCTCGCTTATTGTTAGAGATGGACCCAATAAATCCGATATGACTATGCTAGACAGGGAACGCTCTGTCGAAATATGTAAAAATATACTTACAGGGCTTACTATACATTTAAATATATTTAAATGAATAGCATTCGCGGCCATTTTGTTTGGACTCCATTTATTTTTCTACCATCATTTTCAACTTTTATATTCCATATTTCTTATAACTCTTAAAAGAAAAAAGTTAATGGCGGGGTCAAAATGTAGTGAATCACCCTGTACAGTTTCTTAAAGTCTCTTAAATTTTAAATAAGAGATCCTCTAAAACTTTTTAAATCAGTATTTTTCTGAACAGCAACATAAATTCAAAGCTCTCAATAATATCGTATAGATTCTTTTAACCTTGTTTATAAAATTTCCAGCTTTTTTACATTTCCCAATATATCTTAATCAAATTTAAAACATACTGTGAATATTTCTAAATTAAATCGATTGATTTTGACATCAGAAGCCTGTAGTACACTATTATGTATTTTTAATGTGTTTTCGTACCTGTCTAATTTATTTATGTATTTTGACTTAATATTGTTTTAATTTTCCATTCGTGATTATTGAATTTTTTACAAACAGGCCGACATTCAACTCGACGAAGAACATGTCGAGCATGTCCGCAACCACAGAGAAGTGTGTTCTAAGAAATCCAACGTGGACCCCATGCTCTTAGAAAAGGCCCGTAAAGGTGAATTTTCGGACAATGCAGACTTCAGGTACCACGTCTTCTGCGTGTCACAAGAAATCGGATATATAGATGACTCAGGAAAGGTCCTACGTGATGTTCTGAAGTTAAAAACCACGGAAATTTTCAATGATAAAGCAGATGAGATTATTGAAATGTGCCTTTCCAAAAGTGAAGATCCGATTCAACTTGCGATAGAAACTATGAAATGTTATTATGATAAGAAAGGGCTTGTTCTTCTGTAGAAATATGTATCTACGTGTCTATTAAAATTTGTTTGGAATTGTCATGTTTTTCTATTATCAGATGATATCTATCGATCTATAGGTATTGTAATAAATTCTTGTGAGATGAAAATTGTCTTACCTTTATTTGCTTATACAGCTTCGCTTCTTCTTTGTATTCTATTTTTTGGTTTGGGCGCCAGCTCACATGAGCATAAAGTTATAATTTAGTTTAAATTCTGTTTGCTAAGTTTATAGAGAGTCTTTGTTCAAAAAAAAAATTACATTAAGATGAAAGCAAATTTGTTTAACATCAGCAATCTTACCTCAGTGTGAGGTTCTGAGAAGGTATGTATTTTGATTTTAAAATATTATTTTGACCAATGAATTTAGATAATTGATCTTGAGAGAGAAAAAAAAATGTATTTCAATTTTAATTGACCACAGTTATTATAATTTCTAACTCATTTAATTACTCTGATTCACTATATTTTAAATTAAATAAAAAAAATTATGTGATTAGCTCACACTTAATTTATTTTCTATTATTCCAACACCAAAATTTGTTAATTTTCTGTAAATAGAAGTATGCTGGACCTACCCTACGCCAATTCCTATCCTATAACTTAAAATTAAACAATAATCTTCAAAATATGGATGTTCGATATTAAATTTTTCACGAGTCTGTATAATATTAGTTGTTTATACCTATTTACACTGTTTGATATAATAATGTATTTTCTTTGGTCCTTGATATCCTCTAGTTCTTTTAGGTTCCCTCTAGCACAATTACTGTTCCTTACTTGAATTATGTCGACTTGAATCTGGGTAATTCTCTATAACAGGTTAACTTTGTTTCGATATTGGACTTACTTAGGTTTGTATCGTCCGTAATCTTCAATTACCTAATATGGATCTTGAAACTGTTTTCTTATATTCTTTCTTATAAATTGTTTTTTCTTTACTGAATATTTTTGTTTCTTGTTGGCAATAAAATTATCTTCCTTTTTTTTATTAAATATTTATCTTTTCAGAATTCTAGCTGTCATCTACCAATTTTATTATATTTTTTTCTAGTTACCTTAACACTTTTTCTTTTCATGTCCCACTAATTTTATTTTTAAATAACCTTTCTTAATTCTAGTAATACAACTTTTTTATCAATCACATTTTTCAATTTTGAATCTACTTTATTGCGTTATATTTACTTAAATTTTTGTTTGAAATTCATTTTTATGAAAATTTTAATTGGTTACATGCTAACATCCATTTATTTTATCTTTTCTTTTCCAATTTCAAATATCCCCTATATTCCTATTAGTTAACAACTTACTCACACATATAATTTATTTTAAAATCAATTTTAACAATTTTTTTTTTCAAATTTGCCTTTCTGTTTATTATTTTAAACTCATTCTATTACAATATATATCCAAAATAGTAAGAGATAGCCATCAAAGTAGATAGATACCACTATCGAAATATCGCGGTTACTATTAGAGGCACAGGTCAGAACGTACCAAAAAAAAAACAGATGACGACCATCCATATCCAGCTTTTGATATACCTAAGAGGTAGCGTCGTCAACTATTTTACTTTAAATAGCAACTCATATTTTTTATAGTATTCCGGTTTAAATTGTACACTAATGGTATGTATTTTAATATTGATGTAACCGATAACAAAATAATAATATTTTAATGGAATTTGCAAGTATGCCATGGTAGAAATGGTCTAAAGGGTAACTTTATTTTTTATAGAAATTGTTAGTAACAAATTACATATCTATAATATTGAGCCTAAATGAGGAAATGTTTAAAGTTTCGGTTTTTTTTCATAAAATAAATAAAAGTACCTTAATCTTACCCTAATACAGGGTCGGAATGTCCCCATGGTTCATCGGCCGTTACGTGAGAGCGATAAAGAAAGTCATAGAAATCCGTGCGATAGGGAAAGATGGCTATAATGAAGGCGTCTAATAGTCACCGCCCATTTCGCCCTTCCACAAATAAGATCCACTTCTTATTTCTTTGTATTCTTTTCCATACCACACATGTGACGGCCAATTTAGGTGTACTTTGATGTCAGTAAAGCAAAGATATCTATTTCTAATAGTAATGAGTAATATATTGATAATATGAGCAACTATTAATTATTACCATTAGATTGCTGAAACACATCAGTTTTGATTGTGAAAAATGCATGTATGTTTTCCAGTTCCTTTTCTTTCTATACTACTTCTTTAATACTGTTGGAAAGCGAATTAAGATTTTTCAAATTTCTTAAGAATGCTCCCTTACTACCAAAACTGTCTTGATGTGGCAACTTTCTAAAAAATTAATAGATTTCAAAACAATCCAAGTGGAAACTTGCATGGTTGCAATTGAAAAGTAGTTTAATAAACTGTGATGGCTAAAAGAACAGCTAAAGAACCTACTAAAAAACCTCAGGGTGAGTTGTGTTCCGCTGAAACCACCACAAGAGTTGTAAGGCGTGGATACGTTACGATCAGAGCTAGTACGCTATGAGTTAATATGTATGTACCACAGACTTAGTAGTACAAATAATAATAATAAACTTTTTTTTCCAACCGCCACAAAACTATATTTTTGACTGTCAGAGTCCCCTAGGTTGACATTTTCCTTACTAAGAAAAAAAATGGTATCTTAGCAACAAAAGTATTCCCTTTGAATCCTAGGAGCTAAAGTTGACACTTTTAATCCTTAGATTAAAAGTGTTAATCGAGTTTTAATTTATAAAAGTTTATTCAACAATATTTACAATAATTTTTATTTATCCTTATTGATATCAAATACACAGTTTAAACAAGTATTAAAATTAAATAAACCACTGAAACTGTCACTATCCTCATTCTTGGAGCAATTCTCAAAACAGTCCAACACGATTTCATTAATAGTTATATTATTTTCAGATTGTGAAATCAGAAATGACAACGGTGCTTGATTTATCGTTACCAGTATTATTTTCGCAGTATTTTCTTTATTCAAAAGTGAGTCTTCAATGTAGCCTTCCGTCACAGTTCTCAATCTCCATCATCCGTGTATTTTAAGAAAAATGAGGTCACCACTGCCGTCAAATAAAAGGGTAGCAGACGTTCGTCGTAATGCTGTACTCTTTCCAGTAGTCCAGCTTAAAAGATTTTGCCACTTCTTGCGAGACAGCACTGATTTTATGAATACCGACCACCATTCGTGACACTTTCCACCAACATATCTGAAAAATAATCGACGTACCAATCCCAGTGGACGTAAAGCAACATATTTTCGATAAAAACTTAAATAATTATCTTCCGGCACAGCAAAAGAACGTGATCTCTTGGTTTCGGTATTAGGAAATTTCATAATTAAGGCGGATTTTACATCTTCAACATTCTCAATTGTTAAATTGACCAATTGATCAGAACGGCATGCGCCTGAAGCCCCGATATTAGGACGACCTATAAAGAAACTTTTTAAAAATTTTGTTATTTCTGTTTAAAGCGTTTACCTTCACCATCAAATATAAATTATCAGGTGCACTATTCAAAAAGCAATCAACTTGCTCCTTTGTAAATTCTCACGATTTTTTTCAATACATGCATTTTGTCTCTTGAGAAAAGCACGTAACTTTGAATATTTGCTTATATCAATCCCCTTCTTTATATCCAATGTTGACCGCAATATTGAATATTGTGACCAAAGCGTTGACGGCTTCATTTTATTAACTAAGTTTGAGAAATACGCCATCAATACATCTTCTTTCGCACACTCCAGTATCACCTCAAGTACACCTAAATCTTCATTAGATTCCATTTTTACTGAGTTTTCAGCAAATTGAACAACAAACAATCACAAACTTATAGCTGTTTTACATTAACAATTTATTGATGAATAAATTGACGAAGTTCTTCATGAATTAATTCAGGAATTTATTGGTAAACAGTGTGGTTTTACACTGCTTTGACGTATAAATCAGTTTTACCAATTAATCAAAGAAGCAAATAAATTTCAAAAATGTCACCTTTCCATTCATAATAATTGTAGTAATACAACAGCGGTACCGTTCTGACACATATTATATAAATATTAGTTTTTGTAAATAACAAATCAGTAAAAACAATGTAAAACTAGCACGACGCCACACAATTATTTACATATTCCAATAACATAACCTCATTACTGATCTGAGGCTGGAAATCTGTTGGGTTGGTACTTCCGAACTTCACGAAGAAATTGACGAAAATTAGAACATGCTCTAATTCGT